CTCAGCAGGTGGTCTCTGATACATCTCAGTAGGATGTGCATGAGTACCATGCCTGGTATACTATGTAGTGTAATGCCTCAGTGATTGCTGTAGTCCCTCCGATCCCCTTCCCCCTCCAGAGAGGGATGACCACACCCCTGGGCAGGTCAGGGGAAATGGTTCCAGTCTGCCAGATGGCAGACAGGACAGCATGCAAGCCCCTTACCATAGGTTCTCCACCAGCCTTTAACCCATTGCCGCCAGGGATGGTATGTACGTACATGCCATGCCCACTGTGAGTCAATTTCTTTGATTGTTTTTACACATACATGGCTACACTTGTACTAAGTCACCAATGAGCCCCATACGAGTACCGCCTATCTCGCCCGTTCACCCTTTTCATCGATTTACAAAAATATTTAATGGTATCCTAATTTCCTGTTAAAAATAACACCATCTATATTTATAGCACTAGTGAGAATACGTTTTTTTCCCACAAATTGAAGGAAAGATGAAATCAGGACTAGCAGAGCCATCTATGGAGAGAGATATTTCACAAAAATATAAAAAATGAGTACTGCATTTTCCCCATTTTTTGTTCATTTTCCCCAGCGGCAATAGGTTAACAATTCAGCTGGAATGCCACAAATACCTGCTTAGCTTTACCACTCTTCAGCTTGGAAATCGCCCCTCTGACCTCAGTCAGGGAGGGTGGACCCTCGCTGATGGGTGGGTCTGGCTGAGGAATCTCAATATTACCTGTATCCAAGTTAACTGTTGGTGGATCAACCTGATGCACACGCACCCCATCAGGATTTGAGATTATCTGGCCACTTGCTGAGCGGTCTGCAGGCGTCTGTGAGGAGGGCTTGGAGTTCAGTTTTCTCAGGGTTTGGTATGCAGGACGAAGGTCATTTACTAGGAAATGGCTTCCGACCTCCTCTGCAAGATTCTTGATAAACTGATCCTTATCCCTTCTCAACAGTGACCTAGTCCTGCGCACCCGAGAACGGTGCAAGTTGCGATCCCGACAATCGAGCCGCACGGCAAGCATCTGTGGCGTCCAGTGTCTCCTGCGAGATGGAATTCAGTCTTCCTCTTGGGCATTTATCAATCAATTCTTGGGCTGCATCAAGCGTTTCATGCTTGAAGGTGTCCCTCAGAAGAACAGGGTCCATCAGGTCCTCAAGTGCTGTGAATCGACCAGAGATAGCCTCGGCAGACCACGGGCACACTCATCCTCCCTCAATCCCCTAGGGTTTTTATTGGGGTGACAGTCCCACAGACCGGCGCTCCAATACACCCTGCAGTTCTTTAGGATCCTCCATTGAGTGCTGACAAGAATGTAGTTGATCTCCTTGGCCACTCTACCTGTATCGCTCAATCAAGTCCAACAAAACGGGTCAGAACGCTGATACCAGGAGCCAGATATCCTCAATTTCTTAGACCTAGCAAAGTCATGAAAAAGGAGGCTATTCTCGCTGCCAGCATCAGCTCCTGGGCCATGAGGAACAACAGACATCTCGAAGCCAGCTCGATCACAGCCGGATACTGCTTTGAAGTCACCCAGAATAATACGAATATCTTGCCGAGGACAGCTGTCTGTCACAGATTCAAGTTTGGAGTAAAACATCTCTTTCACCTCAAGTTTATATACATCTGTAGGAGCATACACAGCAATAAGAGACATGAAGCCAAATGAAAGCTTCAGTCTCATTACCATAATACGCTCATCGACTGGAGTGACCTCTACTACCGACGGTTGAAGTCTACTGAAGATGGCTATGGCTACTCCCTGGAGATGGTGGCCATCGCTGCAGCCTGACCAGTATTAGTGTAGCCACCAACACAAATCATGCCACTGCCAGGTCTTCTCACCTCCGAGAGAGCAGCCACCTTAACTCTCAGCTGTTTCAATTCCCTCGATAGTAATGGTAACTGACCGTCCTGTCGTAAGGAACGGACGTTCCAAGCCCGCCCCTACCGACGCCACCCCATATAGAGGGGGCTGGCTGGCTGAAGGTCCCATAATCCGCTTGCAGGGCTGCCACATATATATATGTAATATATATACAATATATAGATTATATACCACGTATATATAGTATATATAGTATATGTAATATATATAATGTTGTAACCGCCGTTATCAACATCGGCATGGCGTACCCGCTGGTATCAACATCACGTGTATAACATCTGTAGCCACTCCATCAGCATCGCCATGGCGTAGCTGCTGGCCTCAGCATCACGCATATATCATCCCCTCTAGGACTTGGTTGACGGTTTCCTCATGGGTTGCGATAAGGATAATGCCATGGCCGGGCGTCTCACGAAAGGGGGGCCATCACAGGTTTATTGAATAGTTTGAGAGTGAATACTGGCTCGACAACACGTACATAAGGACCGATCTGTGAACTTCTCTTAAAGGCCTTGACTATTCCCGCTATGCGTATGTATCATACACATTCATGTATAGATATACATTAGTGTCCGTGTATGTTGTTGCTTACCTAAAGTA